ACCATCATTCTGAAGAAGTTTGCACCAGAATTGACACCGATTCTGTTCAAGTTATTCGCCATCTCCTACAAGCCGGGAAAAAATTCGGGCTTTTTTACATCTTGCTGGAAAATAGCTAGAGTTCAACCAATCCCCAAAAAAGGAAGCCCATCTGAAATGACAAATAGCCCTGTTACCAGTCATCTCCGAAGTGATTGAGGAAGCCATCAACATTGAGCACATCAAATATCTGGAGAGCTCAGGAATAATTGAAGATAGATGATATGGCTTTCGCCACGGAAGATCACCTGGAGTTTTATTGCCGTCAATATGTCATAGATCGCGTTAACTCGTTGAGATATACATGTCGGCGGCAACAGATTTTATTGAAAAGAAACTGCTATCATCACCACTTTGAGTTAATGTAAATGGTTTATGTATGCGTTGATCGTGTTGAAGACCAATTAGAAGTGTAGGCTACGAAAATTGATAAGATAAGATTAGATTTAAAGTGGAGCCTTTGGGCTATCTGCCTCCACACCGCGACCTTCTCAGATCTATTGTGTCTACTCTCAAAATCGTTCAGAGGTTTTTGGCTAGCCCCGCCTTCTCTATGAGACTCCATAGGATAGTTTTCAGATTCCCTGTGTTACTTTGGGCTCTTGGTTTTTCCTCACCCAGCGCAAGGAGCCTTATTCTTGACGAGTCTTCACAGTGGCAAAGTGTACTATTGTTTACTCCTCTCCCTGACAGAACCTGTACAGCAGCTCTTCAGTCAGACCTATCGTACTCATGTGTTTGTTGAGACTATAATGCCCTGAGAGAAGTCCCACTAGTATTCTAGTTGTACCTCGATTCTGGCTCAGTTGATATTCTGTGAATTCTGGCGATGGTTTTTAAATAAACTATTTTGTCTGTCTCATTCCTGGCGAGATGTTCCATCATTCATGAGATTTGGTTTGCATCCATGATTTGATACTTGTGTTTTGTATAGCTTTCGCAATACCAAAAAAGGGTTTTGTGCCATCTTGTTTGCTCCTGCTCGGTCAAGTGAATCTGCCTCTTCATTGCCCTCGTGCCCTGTATGTGTTGGTACCCATGATAGAGTCACTCTGCATTGAGTTAACTTGCATTGACTCATTTGCATTGATTGCCGCCTGGCTATCCAAATAGTTTTCCCTTCAAACTCTTGCCTTATCAATTCTTTTACGCGATGATGTATTGCAATAATTTCTGTCAGAAACACCGTCGCGTATTTGCCTAAGCTCAGTGAGATTCTTGTCTTTGACTTGGCATCATAAATATCAGCTCCTGACCCTTCCTCGGTTTTGGAGTCGCCGTATGGACAGCATTGTCTGCATTGAAAGGATGTCCTTCTTTCCATGCCTCTGTCCATAACACTTATTTCAAAAGTTTTTCCAGCGATATATTTTGGAATTATGCCATTAGTTGGCATTCCCATGATGTGGTCACTTTCCATCTCATCATATAGCTTCCTGTAGCCTTTACCGTGCGTGTTGCTCATGGGTGCTAGAACCCTGGACGATCTACTCATGACTGCTCTGGCTTCGCCTTGAATGTATATTTGTAGTGGTGACAAGTTCAAGAAGACCTCTGAAGCTGTTGGAGTAGTTTTCATTGCACCAGTGGCGCTCAGACAAGCTTGCCTTTGAATGGCTCTGAGCCTTCAAATCACTCCAGCCTATTGTATGCCTTTGGCCACCAAACTACCGACCATATGCTATCATGGGCCTATTGACACTGGCATAGGGCCATGTTGTCATTTGTGGTTGCAGTCCCCAATTTTTTCCGCACATTGGTCTGCCAGATCTTCGTCGTACGGGAGGGATATCACTTGGGTAGAAAGTGGGCGGTATGGGTAACAAGAAAGAGGACACGAGGGACATGACAGGGCTTTCCTTAACGAGACGGCAGAGTAGACATATCGGTCACGAATTACCATGTTCTTTTTGCAATTCGGATTTTAATACGCTTTCTATAAAAGTAGGTTGTACTGAATGGAGTTGGTATCGTGTTTATTAGTGTCCATTCGATTCAACTGATCACTTAGATTTTGATTGACACAACAATTAGGTCTGCTCAACATTGGTGGTTTGATTACAATGTGATTCAAATACATCTCTATCATAGGAATCCGATATACATATACCCTGTATAATGAAACGTCATGCGGTTATGTCGACTGTCTAATCATCCGATGCATCAAGTAGAATCAGTGAGACGCTTTGATCCCCTCGAACGCAACAGCACAGCAAGGTACCCAATTAAGCCAACTACATTGACATATTATCCAGGTAACGGTCCGACGCGTTGATTAATTGAATTTGTCAATTAATTACCTTGCTATACGTTCATGGTTTGAATAGGAATACACTCTGAGAATGTTGCACTTTTTACTTGCTTCACTACATTTTTCAACACGAAAAGAATGCTGTCTGCTACCAGAATCAATTTACATACAGGCTGTCCTATTTTCGATGTCCTTATATAAGTTATTCTCAAAGGTAGAGATTTTCAGTTATGCGAACGTTGGCTACCTTTTTGTGAACCTCACGATATCAGAAACAAAACTTCCATAACCCGCTTCGTTTCTGAGATAAGTAAAGGGCGAAATTGAAAATGTTGCACTTTGGAACCCTCCTGTATCTCAGATGCCCTTACAACTAACTGATAGAAAAAGTAGAAATTTTCTCCTATACATGATCCTATATTGGATCCAATGAGGCAAACAGTTTTCTGAAATGAGCTGTTATAATTTAGATATAATCCAAAGTTATCTTTTTTTAAATATAACATACTGCATATTTTTTCATACAGTATGCAGTATGCGGAAATGTTTAACTCTATTTCTTTCCTTATTCAATTGTTTACCATAAGTTGGTATTTTTCAATTGTAGTCGAATTTTCTGCATTTATTTCAAGCGAAAAATAAAAAATTATATTGGTATTATAGTGTCATTTTTCTGTTGTCCCCCAAAGGTCTTCACAAAATCCTACCACATCATCCTCGAACTCAAACAGTTCGAGATAATCAAACCTCGAAGCATCTTAACCTCAGTACATAACTGTTTAGTTTGGATGCTAGACAGTTCCAACTAACTTGACTACTAGCTACAATGAATGACGAGAATATAGTTGATAATTGTTCATTTTCATAAAATATCTCATAGTCGTTAATTAAACGTCTACTTATGCTCTAAATTAGAGATTGTTCTACATACTCAATTTTCCAGCAGGCTGCTTCTGGAGGACCGTCAGCAAATTCCACTTCCATTTGGATCGATAAAACGACCAAAAAAGGAGGATTGAAAAAATGCCTTTATAGTCACCCCAGAGTCAATGGAATGGGCGGTGAAATATTTTTCTTCAGTCTCCGCAAGACGACAGATTTTTTCCTGCCCTCTTACAGAAGGGTACAGAAGATTTAGTACCTCTCCTGGTTGAATAGGGAATTCCACCATGATTTTTTGAATTTTTTTTTCACGATTTAGAACACATACTGGGTGAATTCAGCAATTTTTCAATTTTCTTTCGATTGCGGTTGACCCAAAAAAAAATAGATTTCGAGGTTAGTCTGTTTCTTCTTCAATAGTTTGTTTTGTAGCCATTTTTCGCTCAAGTCACAGATCACCCAACCACTCTGTGCTCGAGTTCTGTGTCTTTGGTTTTGTGCAACGCATCCTCTTTGGGTCATCAGAGGGAGCCTCAAGAAAATACAAGTGACTTCACACATGCTTCACACCGCGAAAAATGGTCGTTTGGAACTCTCACAATTTGTAGCACTTTTTAAGTATTAATTAAACGGTTGTAAAGGAATCAAAAGATGGGAGGAAGTGCCATTTGATATACTGTGTCATGTATGAGAGCGTTCGCCATATAAAAAGGGCTATTTTCACTATTTTCAGTCATAGTGACATTGACTATTATTCCGAGCAAGTTTGGCGTGGAACTATATTCGGCGAATCACTTCCTACCTTCCTTCCGACCGATCAGCCTTACTTCGTTCCTATTGAAAACTCTAGAAATAATTCTAAACAGACATATTAGAGAGAAGAATCTGAGGAAACATCCTCTACATCTCCATCAATATGCCTATCTAACAGGCAAATCAACGGATTTAGCACTGAACAATCTTGTAGCAAAGATCAGCCATTCTTAAGATCATAAGGAAATGGCGCTGGCAGCTCTCCTGGACAGTGGCGTTTCGGAAATATTCAAGAAATATCATCCTCAGGAGCCCCTTTTAGGGGGCCGTAGTTCCGTTAGGAGATATTTCTCGACTCATGTCCATTGGATTTTTTCTTCTCATTTCTAATCGTAGAAGCCGCTGGTGAAGTTTGGAAGGCTTATTCCAGGACACCCTGTATATCTTCATGAAAAATATTCGACTTCCATTCAATATGGAGACAATTTGACATGCCGAAAATGATGTATACTATGGAAAAATAATGCTAACGAGGCAAATAATTTAACATAACCGAGTATTTTTATTTCGTTCATGTTTTCTGTTTTACTATGATTCAATGTCATCTCGTTTAATGTTCGAATTGACTTTTCACTAGAATTTCATCATAGTCGAATAAGAGGTTTTTTTTTCATGAAAAAAATCTCACAATTTCCGATTCCTGTGATTCAATTTCAAGAATAATTATACAAAACAGTGCGAGCGATAAAAATACTCTGAGCCGATATTCATTCAAGCTATCTGTCTCATTTTTATTTGAGGAATCTATCGCACATCGCACGCTAGTTATTATGGGAGGCCCTGTATAATTCTTCTTGCTAAGATATAACAATATGACGTCTTTCAGAAAAAAAAGATGAATTATTGATAATAATGCCCACTCGTAGCTCTCGAATATTGATAAATATGTAGAGAGTAGATCAATAAATTATTGAGTGCCTGTGTACTAATCCATTGATAAGATTAGGAACCTAACTAAAAAAAGAATCAATCTATAATAATAATTGACACTCAACGTTCTATTGTATTCTTACAGATGATGCAAAAGCCATGCATTCCGTTGTCGGTGATCAAAGATCTTATTTGCAGACAATGCCAAAATTTTGTCAGCTGTGGACCAGTGTATGTTCTTCCTTCAAGTGACACCATATTATGTGGAAGGTACGTTTATAAGTTAATTAACCTTGATATTCGTATCTAGTGATATAAATATTGATTATATATTGTACTTCCGGGACCAAAGTATGTCGTTTAGTTCTTTCAAACAGGAACTAAAGCTACCCATTTCATCCTCAAAGACTGAAGTGGGCCATTGCTGAGTTATTTCATTATTTCGAGAGACATTGAAAATACAACAAACTGGTACTTGCCAAATTGAATTATGACATTGGTGATTCACCCTTGCAGGGTTCTTTTCCTGGGCAGCCCCTCTCGCGGGATTCAACAGTCACTGAGTCAAAATATAGTACTCGTATTCGACGAGGCATCAAGTGGTACCGAAAGGTTTTTTTTTAAATTGCTGAAAGGCATGTCTATGGTAAATGCATTCAACATATATAAAGAACAAACCCTTACAGAATCGAATATCAATCAAAGAAGACGTAGCCAGAAGTTTATCATTTGCAAATGATGCCAACAGAATGAGTCTAATGATACCCAAAGTAGCACTATTAAGTAAGTTAGTAAGAGATTTCAAATGAACAGTTTCACATGATTTCCAATTTTATTGTTATATTTTTACTTAAGGGATGTCAGGCGCCGCGAAATTTTGTAGGCTTATGAAATTCAGCGCTGCGATTCCTATATAAAGTCGTCCAAAAAGCCTGACACGGCCGTGAATGATAGTAGTGGTGTCAGTTACAAACGACTGACGACGCAAGTGGTTACCTACAAAAATTGGAAAATTGAATTAGGTCAATTAACAAGTGTTAAATGAGGATAATATCTTTGTTCTTATGTAATTTCTAAAACAGAAAATACAGGCAAACCATAAACGCAAAAAAAACTGAAACCAGATGTGAAAACATATACCTGTCTGTCTTTATCCTGACATATGTCAGTTATTTTCTGACGGATTTGTAAGTTTGAATACTTGTTCAGAAAAGTCCACGCTCTCAGAATATCACACGCAACAATATACAGTGCGACTCAAAAAAGTTCCAGCAAGTTTGGCCAAGTTTAGGTGTGTCCGCCGTCTTGTTTAATAAAAGAATTCGATAAATATTCAATTGACGTTTTGCCTTATTCAATTATCTTTCAAACAAGACCAAAATCAATGAAATCGGTTTATTACTAAAAAATCGAGAACAACATTCCTGTTTTTTATAACAACCCTATACAGGGTGTCCGCTAGAAGAAGGTCAATCCATTAACCATATATTCCTTGAACAAAAACAATATGAGTTTCTAAATACCATTTTTCATTTTAGCCCTTTATATTCGATAAACAGGGTCAAAGTTGGAAATTAAAAACTGTTTTTTTTTTAATTACTCGCGTATTTAATGAGATATTAATCTCATACTTGGTACATTACTTCAGCAAAAAGAGTTAATCGTGTGAGGAAAACAAAACAGAAAATAACTGTCAAATATTCAAAATACTGGGGGTCAAGTACACACTTACCCCCATTATTTTTTGTACGTGCGCTAATGACTTCCTATCTATTTTTCTTCAAGTGTTCAATCATTTTTGAGTATGTTTCGTTCTGTGTGAAATTTCGATTAAATTATTTGTTTTTAAGATAATTCGAAAAGTACTGGTCATTGTTTGATGCCTATGCGGCTTTCGGTAATCTCATAATGTTCACATATTCATTTCATCAAAATTGGAAGAGGGCGTAACTTTTCACGTACGAAAAGGTGAATATGGAAATACCGGGTGCTCAGAGCGAATATATTGAAATAATTTTTCAAAAAAAAAGAAATTATTGAAATTCAACACGTCTAAATAAATTGCTCGATATGACCTCCACTTATTTGAATACAAATGCGAGCCCTTTCAATCAAAGACAATCTTAGCCTTTGAAAAATATGTGGCTTCAACCTGAAGTGCTGCTCCCCAGCTCGAAAGAGTCTGTCTCTTAAATGATTCTCGCTCATAATCGGAACCTTATACACAACATCTTTCATGCATCCCCAGACTGAAAAGTCCAAGGGTGTGAAAACAGGGAAACAGGGTGGCCATTTAACAGGAGCATCCTGACCCCGACCAATACTTTTCGAATTATCTTAGAAACAAGTATCATAATTGAAATTTTACAAGAGACAACAAATACTCAAAAATGATTGAACACTTGAAGAAAAATAGATAGGAAGGCATTAGCGCACGTACAAAAAAGTGGGGGTAAGTGTGTACTTGACCCCAGTATTTTGAATATTTGACAGTTATTTTCTGTTTTGTTTCCCTCACACGATGTAACTCTTCGTGCTGAAGTAATGTACCAATTTTGAGATTGATATCTTATTAAATACGCGAGTAATTGAAAAACACAGTTTTTAATTTCCAACTTTGACAACCTGTATATCGAATATGAAAGGCTATAATGAAAAATTGTATTTAGAAACTCATATTGTTTTTGTTCAAGGAATATATGGTCAATGTATTGACCTCCTTTTAGCGGACACCCTGTATATTGTTACGAGACTACATTTTTTGGAATAGACTAACTCGAAATGGCCGCATCGCCTGGGTGGAAGATTACAGAAGATTTGGCGAAGGATCTCTAAAGGTTATGAAAATGCTAGAAATGTCTTAGATCAGATATAAATAGCGGCAGGTAGCCCGACGGGAGTAGTAAGTGAATCGATTCAGTTGAAGGTTTTATATTAGAAAGGGGGCGAAATTATTGTAATTACGTACCGTGTACTGTCAAAGATTACTGATAGTTTATCTTCTGTAATCTATGGTACTGTAGACTGTATAGTATATGTATTTGAATAAATCGTTTCAGTTTCTATTGATTGTTTGTGAAAGTCCGAACCCAAACATTTATCGGAAGTCGTGAGAATATCCTTCTCAGATATCTTCCAAAGAAATTATTAGCAGTGCAACAGTGTTACGAACGCCAGAAGTCAGCATTATGGAAGTTGGAGTTTGAATTAAATCTAAGCGGTTTTCAAGCAAAGGGAAGACGTTTAAGAATTCAGATGGTAGCTTAACTGATAATCTGTTTCTCTTTCGATGTTCACGGCTACAGCCTGAGGAGTTGAGATAGGAACGTTGATCGTATTAGGTATTCGTCTCAGAAGAAATGATGAGAAATTTTATTCTTTCGTTTTCTCCTCGTTATACTCCATTTCATTATACATATAATAAAATGGGTTACTAAACAGAAATTCAATATGAAGAATGATTAAACTTTTCTCATCTTTGGAACTGTCATTCTATAAACGAATATTGAATCTGCTAATATCGACAAATTCATATTATCGAAAAATTCCTGATAACAAAGAATCTTGCTGATATCTCTTCAAGGTTTCATCCAACGAATTAGACAAAGTTTCAGACTTAGGTACGGTATACAGTGAGGACATAAAAAGTCCTGCCACCATCCTTAAACTTTCGAACGGAACAAGCTCGCGAGGTCGGGTAAAATTCAGGTAAAAAGGTACCTATTTTACTACGTTCTGGTATAAAAATCGTTGTGGTCACGTGGTCAAGTGTCAAGTGGGCACCATCAACTGTGTTTCCAAATCTGGAGAGGGGTCACGTGGTACCTTATATATGCTTATATTGAAGGCCTTTCGAAGAATAAGTCAACGTTGTAGATTTGGAGCATTTTTGAGCATATTGTTCCAATTCTCAGTTGAAATTTCGTTGCAGATAAAAGTTACCCATAGGTTTTTTGCAACAAAATATTAATATTTTAGGCATAGTTCGAACGCTTGTCATTTTGAAACTGCTAAGTCACTTTTTCATGATTCCAAGAAATTTCGACGCACTAATAATTAATGAAATACTACGATACGAACAATAGTATCCATGTCTTTGAATGTTTTGGAAACATAAAATATCACCTATGACTTATCGAACTCAAGAACTACCTACAAAAATAAATTGGACTCTTCAACTTTATGCAACAAATTTCGGAATCATTGGAAAAAAGTCATTGGAATATCAAATTCTTTCAAAATTTCGATGACGAAACAGGAACTAAAACATATTATAATTCAACAACATAAAAAAATTTCGAAAACTATATCAGAAAAATTAGAACAAAAAGTATTTCAGTAGAAGCTCTAATCCAATGAAATATCAAAATCCCGTCGTTCATAAATGTGAACATCACTTCCAATATCTTCTCCAGAACCATATGTAGTTTCATTGCTTGGCGTAGCAATGTTGAAATCAGTAAGAGTCCGTCTATATGAAGCATATGTCCATGAAAACGACAGTTTTGAAAATATTTGATTGTGATAATCTATGGACATATGATTTATGCCTTAAGATCCATGAATTGGATCATGATGGACATCTTATTGAATAGATTAGTACAAAAGAGGTAAGTGAAAATACTTGAGAGGATTAGACTGAGGTTAGGAATTATTAGCGACAGGACGTGACAACCACCCATCAGGTGATATAGTGTGACCGTATTCTCTGGCTCTTCACATTACGATGTAAATAAGTGGGTCCTACAAGACGTGACCAAACGTAGCAGTTTTGTAACAGATTCAAGTTTCCTTGTATAAATTTTCAAGAATGTGCCACCATAAGCCAATCTAGGAGTGCTGTTGATCTTTATGTTCATTCCTACTCTATATAGTTGCATCTGTATACAGCCTCCAGTCATGGTCTGCACTTCTTGCACTTACGTGAGCACCTAATTGATTTCGAATACTTCGCGATTTCTTCCAGTGAATTTGAACAAACTATTGGACGAAACAAGATGGATGGCATTATATACCTCAATACTGGTATGAAGTGGACTTAATAACTTTTTGCACTGACTCCTTCTATTACTCTTGCTGGAATGAAGAAACTGCGATATTATAGTAGCAGACCTACAACTATAAATGTAAAAACTTCACAAACGCTGAGATTTCCACATTTGTGGAAATCTAATCGTTTGTGAAGTTTTCACATTTGCTATGGATATACATCAAGTAACGGCCAAGTCAATTGAAGAAATACAACTATAAAGTTCAATTATTCTCAAGTTCAACATGGAGTAGAACGCATGCATACATTTTGATTTCCGCATTTGGATTCACTTTGGCTTCCATTTTCACATCAGATGTACTCCATTTTCAGATGTCGATATTTGGCGAAAAATGTATACCAGAACAAAGCCTACGAGGCATTGGCGTCCATGTTCTTATATCCCTGTTGTAATTGGACAAATCACTGTTCGAGATCTCTGAAATGGGACGAAAGCTTGCAGCATGAAGACCAATGCACATACAGTGGATGCTGCAGCAGATTTTGGTTGCATCCAACTACATTGTGCAGAAGAAGAAGAGAAATGCCCTGTGGAGGTGAGTGTGATATTTATTGTTGGATTCCGAATGAGTTTTTCCTAACAAATAGAAGTTTTGTTTTGCCACTATGAAATATTGAATATATTGATGTATATACAGGGTATCCCTAATGTAATTTACATATCGAAGGAGGTGATAACACAGCTTATTTTGGCACTGAAAGTTCCTACAAACATAATATATCTGGAATTGCTTTGTTTTAAAAGTTGAAAATATGCATAGATATTTTGTCTATCCTTTTACAGGGTGATTCATCAAGAATGGGCAATCTCTGAGCTACAGATAGTAGACACTTAAATATGAAGATTGAGCCTAACATGACTGATACGAATGTTGTTGATTTAGGAGATACATGGTGTTCAAGGGTAAGACTTTATTCTGAAATTTCCCTATAACTTTGTAAGTTTTGACAGCATGAATATAAAATTTCTAGGTTTTCTGACATGAGAAAAACGAATTTGGAGTTTATTTTGTGATTGCTCATAGAGGGCGCTGGTGACCCTCTGTTCGGTGAATTATCGTGTCATATATTCTTTGTCCATCAAATGATGATTAAAATTAGTGCATATATAGTCTGACAGCCCGTCCAATTTTACATAAAAATCAACAATTCATCAAATTATCTTACTCTAATGGTTCTTGCGGTATGCATTCTTGAAGAGGTATGTGTTTCACTTTGAACATGTTGATTATTTCAAATTATGAATATAAAAAAGGAGTAGTATATAGGGTGATTCAGAATTCGATGTAAATATTTTGAGGACGTATTATTGGGATCGAAATAAGACTTTTTCTTCATATCAACATGTATCATGCACCTCATTTGGGCCAATGAAAGTGAGGACTCCTTCCAACCCCCATAAAACTGCGTGAACATAATTTTCTGAAGAGATAATGAAATAAAGTGTCTAAGAGGACAGGGGCCTGCCAATTCCCAAAAGATTTCATCAGTTATTTTAGTCAGAATTCCAGAATATATTTTTTCATTAACTTACTTACAATGGCTATACACATGTTTACATGAAGAAGAAGTCTTATTTTGATCCCAACTAATATGTCCTTGAAATATATTCATCGAATTTCCAATCACCCTGTATGAACAATAATTACATCAATCATTAACAACGCCAAACACAAACATGATTCCGAAGTAAATATTCGACCAAAGGTATGGAGGAATATTTTAATATTTTTTCTTGAACACCATGTATCTGCCACAGTTTCCTAAGGCATGTAGGGCTAAATCTTCCTCTGCGCATTCTTGATGAATCACCCTGCGTATCTTCTTGTGATATCAAAATTCAGTGTCCTTTATGACTGAAATATTGCAAGAATTTCAGAATGTTGTGATATATTATGGTTATCCAGTGATCTGAACGGATGTCTTAGCATTTACATCAAAATTTGGAGTCTGGTCTCGTTTTCCATTTACTCTCCGAAATGAGTTTCAACAAGATACCTTTGTTTTGCTATAAAGATGTCTATGTATTATGGATTTTGGAATTGTATCTTACAACCTCAAATTTCCTAATGTTCTCTGAGAAGGACAGTAGGCATAACAGCAACTTCTTTTCCAGTGGTTCCACTTTCTACAATACAGGGTGGTCCGTTTTTTAATACGGAAAATTTAACAGCGTATAGTACTCGTTAAAATAATGAATAAACTTCCTATGAACATATACTTTTAAACGATTCGTTTTCGAGATATAGGGTGTTCAAGTTTCTTTAAAAAATCGATAATTTATTGATTTCTCAAAAATGCTATAACCGATTGTGATGAAATTCACATCTATTGTGGAAATATCAATGAGCTAACTTTTAGACCTATTACAGTTCATGAATGAGTTACATATTTTCAGGGTCGTGCATTTTAAAATACTATTTTTTGCCCTCTCAGATTTCTTATCTAATAGCTTCGTTTCAGAAGGAAAAATAAAAACCAAACCTATGCATGTCTCTAAACCCAATGTAATAAACATTGTAATGCATTAAATCTAGTTAGCATTGGCCGTTTACCAAATCAATCATGTAACCAATCATTTACGTATTAGAAGAGCCACAACAGGCCATAGACCGCAGTGAATATCCTGCTATTTGTCTTCAATGTTTTTGAGAAATAAGGTGTCAAAAATACGCTTCAGAATAAATATAGTTTTTTAATCAAAAGTTAGAAACGGTTCATGATAAATTAACGAAATTTTCCACAGATGCTGAACTAAATTTTCGATTTTGAAACCTGAAAAAAAGTCGGAACTATTACTTTTATTTATGCGTGCAATAGTATAAACTGATAACTAGTATTAAACGAAAAAAGAGAACCAAAATTACTAAAAGCATGACATGATACTAGTTTATAAATTACCTGCAACTGTTGAGCTTCTTTTCTAGAACTGATTTGTTGGTTAACATCAAAAAATCTAAGAATGTGATTGTTATCATTTCTTCTCAGTGGGCCATTATTTTGGTATTGTTCATTATTGCTACGTAACCCAAACTGACGAAAACGTGAGTGAGCATTGATGAAGACTCGTGCATTAGGTACCCTTCTCCTATAGGGAAGCGATTTCTGTATTCCCCGAACTGCTGCCTCTGCGTTTCCATTACAAAATCCGTAAACGAAATGAATATCGGCATACTCTTCAGTACTAAATCCCATAGGCATATTGACAAACGGCAAAATTGGAATAAAATTATTACACTTATTGATAAGAACACGGAATAAGTTTGTTATTTCTTTGACAGAACTCTCGGAGTGACAGCACATATAAACAGTGAACAGCTGAGCAACTGAGCATAACCTACTTCTTTAATTAATATCAAGTAGTATTATTCAACTAAAAAATGTTATGAAATCTTACAAGCGAGCTTTTTTCATTGAAACTTGAAAAATAAATGAAAAATGATTACCCGAAAAATTTATGTAATTATTACTTTCGCCACCCCAGATCAGCCGCCACTAAATAGTTTTTATGAATAATTTTTATTTAATCTAATAAAGCTCAAAAAGTTGAGTATCAGTGAAAAAATATATTCAGAAGCGTATTTTTGACAACCAATATCTCAAAAATGAAGCGTTTAAAAGTATATGTTCATAGGAGGTTTTTTTATTATTTCAACGAGTACTATACGCTGTTGGATTTATCGTATTAAAAAACGGACCACCCTGTATATCGAAGACTGGAACCTTTGGCACGATAATACACTACACACTGTTTTATCACTAACCAAACCGATTTCCTACACCTCGACACGTGTTTCGCTAACTATGTTAGCATCTTCAGAAGAAGATTAAAATTAAAGTTAGCAAAACACGTGTCGAGGTGTAAAAAATCGGTCTGGTTAGTGGTAAAACCGTGTGAAGTGTACTTTCTACAATATTCAGAAGATTACGAAACTAATGATGAACAGTCTGAAATATCGGTAGCAATTATCATGCATCTCCTTCATTACTGTGAATCAGTTAAAGAATAAAGATAAGATCTTGATCAAGATACAGTGAACAATAGTACGGTTGAGCAACAGCATTATATTTTTTTATACAACAGAAACATGGGGGGACGTTGATCGAGCCGATCAAAATATGATTTTGTAACGGAAAACGTTTCCACTAAATGCGAAAAATGCAACGTTAGTCTCTATATGATACTTGTTTCAAGCCCCATCATGTCAGAGACTAGTTGACTCATATCATTCGATTTTATATACAGAATAGTTTAAATGTCCTTTCGTATCATTTATAGTAATTTGATATAATAAACACTTGGTGCTAAAAAATGACACTCATTTGCCTACTGTCCTTTCAAAAGAACAACGTCTTTTTGGAATCTCTAGCTTTCAAATTTTTTTCAAGGTTTTTCTGTTGTTTATTCTTCAAATGCTGAACTAGTTGAAACGAAAATCGAAATTCAAGAAACTATGTATATTTTCCTACGAACATCTATGAAAGCATGATATAGCAAACTGTGTTGTTGCTTAGAAAGTATCTGATATCACCATGGCAATGCAAAAGTGAAAATGAGCAGTGCGGGAATATTCCCGCACGCTGACGTGGTCTTTGTTTGGTCTACATGATGCCGTATGGATGATCATAATACTGAATTATCATATTTTTTCTGCAACCGACATAAAAGTCGTCTATTTTAATACCAAAATTAGCTCTTGAATTGCCGGTTCTATTACTGACACAAACATAGGTATGTTGGAACACTTCTGGTTCCTAGGAGCGATAGTTGAACTTTAGCTCCTAGGAACTGAAAAGGATGTATTAGGTCAACAAGAATGAACAACATTGTTATGGTTGTTATGTGGGTTGGGACGCATACCTGATTTGTGTTAGATTTCGGCAGTATTGTGACTAGTTTCGGCTCAAACAGCCATCTTCAGACACATCCGTACACAGTAACTGTTAATATATTCAATTAACAGACGAACGATGAGTTGCTGAGAAAACAAACATACCTATAAGGCCATGTGGAAATCACATCATGAAATAAAAATGAAAATTAAAGAGCCGTGGAGCCACTTGGCCAAAAATCTGACCGGTGAAGAAATACTTGAATTTTTGAACCGACCAAACAGCCAAAAGAACCCAACTATCCTCAGGGTCAACATTGGCACAAACTTGAGAAACATTTTTGTATTTACTTCAATTCACTCAAACGAGTTTCATCTTGATATGGCCATTTTGTGAAAGACGAAGCAACAGAAGTCGACAGAACACAAGACAAATGACAGTGACAAATGATACAAACCAAATGACATGGACAAAATATGCGTAAATTTCGAAACATCATGAGTTGTGATAATATAACGAATAATTTCTGAAAAACATGAATTAATTAAATAGTCAATTTTGCCAAAAACCTAAGAGAGAAGTATACGTGATGAGGTTGAATAAGATAAATCAGCCCAGCAAAAGAGGGAATGTCAAGGTGTGTAGTAATAAATATTATCAAAGACAAAAGAAGAAGATATCAGGAGAGTGAACAGAACAGGGCCGGCTTAAGTAAAAGCAAACAATACAAAATTGATGTACGAAAAATGTGGTTTCTTTCAAAGTTAGTTTGGTCGTTGAGACAGTTGATATTTTTGAATTTCTAAAGGTTTAGCCGTGGACCTTTATTGCAGATGTGGACCATCTCCATATTGGAGTTAGCATCAAAATCAATAATATGATTTGAAATGGAAGATGTAGTGTTAGGATTATCCGAGTTGAGAAATTTGTGGCTGAGTATGTTGTGTTTCGAGGCGCGGGTTACAAAACTTCTACCAGTTTGACCTATACAGGGTGTTCCGAAATTAGCCTGCCAAACTTCACCAGCGGCTTCTTCGACCAAAAATAGGAAGAAAAGTTTCAATGAACATGAGTCGAGCAATGTCTCCAAAGGGAGCTACGGCCCCCTGAAATGGGGCTCCTGAAGATGATATTTCTTGAATATTTTCGAAACGCCACGTGATAAAATGATACAATTTGGTACAAGAACTAAACTTTCCATGCACAATGCGGTGAACATAAAATCAATTCAGAGTTTCATTCAGGAGTGAATAATACAGGGTGGGACTACATTAAATATTGCACAAACTTCTTCGTATACATATTTTTTGACACTTCAATCTCGGATTATGAAAATCCACACAATTTCACAAAAAAGTGTTTTTGTTCCGCATCGATCAGATGTATCATTTTCGAATGCAATCGATTTAAAAATATCGATGCACTCACATCTTATGCATATGAGTATATATGAGTTTATTAAATAGGTAGTTAACCATATTATGTATCAGTCTTTATTTTTTTTTTTTTTTTCTTTCAATACTTTAATATTTCTGAATACATATATATATATTATATATATATATATAACTTCTCAATATTTAGTTGAGCTACAGGCGCTTGAGGAAGACCAGTACCATACTGATCATGTGCCTTTTGACCTTTCCTCATGTTCTTTTTTTGATAGTTTATGGACTCTGATTTTGTTTTCTGTTGGAATGGTCAATAAAATTACATATTATTATATTATTATTATTATAATGTTGCCAATTTTCAAATCATAGTGGCCATAAAAAAATCAAGCACTTTCTTTTCACCAAATAATCTCATAAGAGCGCGAAAAATAGAAAGATGATGATGGAAAAATTACTTTAATTTTTGTGCATTTTTTTTTCATTTCCACTACGCCTCATTGCAATGTTATGTATAATATCTGAGATGAAACAATATTTTTAAATTGCTTTTACTCGATAATAATGCATCTAATTGTCACGGGACAAGAGTACTTTTTTTCTGTGAAGAGGTGTGAAATTTCCTAAGCCGAGATTGAATTGTCAGAAAATATGCATAAAAATAATTTTGAGCAATATTTGATGTAGTCCCACCCTGTATTATACACTCATGATTGAAATTTTGGAATGATTTTATCTTTACTGCATTGGGCGTGGAAAGTTTGGTTCTTGTACCAAATTGCATTCTTTTATCACATGGAGTTTCGGAAATAGTCAAGGAATATTATCTTCAGGAGCTCCCTTTCGGGGGGCTGTAGCTCCCTTAGGAGACATTTTTCGACTCATGTTCATTGAAAGTTTTGTTTCTATATTTTTGGTAGTGAAAGCCGCTGGTGAAGTTTGCCAGGCTAATTTCGGGACACCCTGTATAAAAAGAATTGGAATAATTACAATTCAATTTTTAAACGCCTGACTTTTTTGTTTGAGAAATTTTGTGTTTAACAAGTTAGGTGTTTGAGATTGGAAGAAGTTTTATAGGAGATGTTAATATTATAATTTTTGAAATTTTTTTTAAATTTGAACCGAATAATTACCGAAAAATTTTTATTTGTTACGGAAAGTTTCATCGTTCCAGATATCAGATTGGTTGCAGTTCCAGACCACTTGCTGGATCACATCAAATGCGTGATATGTCAGTCATATCTCACTTGCGAACCTGTATTCATTCAGCCAAATGGCACCAACATTTGTCATCGATGTGTGCACAGCAATGGAGTTCCACCCAACTGTCTCAGGAATTATCTCTACGAACAACTGTCCAGCATTATCATCTTCCCATGCGTTTTCAGAAACAGGGGTAAGTTCCTGTAATGCTGAAACTTCTCTATTCTCAGTATGATTATGAGTAAAACCTACTATTCCATGATAATCATGTTAGATTTATCGCGAAAGCCGATCTACAAGAATTCGGCTTTTCATTCCATGCTATAAGTTAATGTGACTGAAATTCAAGCGTATCATTGGGATTTCGTAAAATTATGGAAAAGTTGCGCGTTTTTATGTTTAACAATATGCCATTTTGGAACATGCTAAATTCGGAATATCTTTGGATTCCTACCTTTATTTCACTTATTCAATTTGATCTATTCACAGTATATAAGATATTTTGCATTTCTTGTCTAGGCCCCCTATGTCGACTATCTCATTGCTTCGAATAATCAAAAACATTCTACAATTTGGTATGCTTGTTCTCTCCAAACCACTGTGGTGGAGAAAAGCAGTTACCTTTTAGTAGTTAGTAGTGAATTGGGTACTGCTATTTCTTATTTCAGTGGTTCTTGCCCGTTTTCAACGTATACTTCTATGACCCGGCTACTGTCCATGTTTACAATAACTATTGATTTTCATTTTTATATATTTTCGATCACTTCGTCAAAGATTGCACAGTATTTCAAAAAGAATTCCATTTAGAATTGTGTAATAATATTCCAGATCTAATTAACATATACTTCCTATCCTAAGTACTCTTTTTTTCATAATATTATGATGTCTTCCATGAGCGTCTATAGTTCCCGATAAGTAGAATTTTGGGCCTAGATTGAGGTCTTGTTATTATCATCTCTTGTTATTCTTGATCTTATGTTGATTGCTTCATTTTTTCGATGGAGTCATTCGATATTATACCTCATTTGACCTTCTCAGGATTGGGATTCAATGAATTTATACACCTTGTGTATCAAGAGAAATATAGTTCTGATGACAATTTCGGAATTGTACTAAGTAGAAAATGAAGGAAATGAGCTCAATCATTATTATTTTTAATCATCAGAAATCAAGAAACGCTAAAATAACGAGAAATCTGAAGAAGCAATTAAAAATATATCTCTCCATTCGAAAACACGTAGTTGAGATCCACTTCCGGTGAAACCGGATATACAATTTAATTAAACTGGACCTAATCGATAACTTCCGTGAAAAATGTTTCAATTCAGTTTCACCGAATACCTATAATGTGCGATTTAGACGAAATCAACGCGATGATAACTCTTATAATATAATATAGTAATCACTGATCTACAGATAGTGAACAACAAACCATGGAGTTTTGCTGGTTCAGGACACATTTTTATCTCTTGAAGCGCACGAAAGGAAATTCCTATAATGTTCGAAGAAGTGGAAGATTTTATTCAAAAATTTCTCAATGACTATGATATTTTTAACAGCATCAGAATAGAATTTGATAGTTTGGGGTTCTCTGACATGGAAAATACGAATTTGTAACTCATTTTGTGACTGCTCTTACAGGGTATTAGTAGCACTCTGCTACTTCAGTAAAATTCATCTTATTTCTTCATTAAATAATAGCTAAAATGAGCTGAACACCTGACAGCCTGTTGAATTTTACATAAGGTAGTTGTAGTAGTATTATGATGGGGAGGCTACAGCCCATATGGGCCCTTTTTTGCCAACCCCTGCTCTCCATACAGTGGTCCTTTCTGAACTCTGATTCGACTAAATTTTCCTGTTGTAGTTCATCCACTTATTTCAAATCTCATATGCCTCACACAGGAAGTGGAGTGACGTCTCCCCATCTTCTCCGCATCCACGGCAAGTGGGACTATCTTCTATAACTATGAGTGATGGGTGTCTACGCAACCTGTTTTGTCCTGTTAGTACCCCTATAAGGCGCAGAACCCTGCCAAGTAACCACGCCCTCTTTGACTTGTTTGTACCATCCACCAGGCCTCTCGATTGCCTGCAGCCACCTATATGCCTTCAATATCCTTATAATGCTTCAAGGACCACGCGCACTGAATCGACTCGGATCGGTCGACTCGGCTCAACACGGTCGGCACGTTTTGCTATGCATGTAACTTAATGCATCGCCGCGCACTGAATCGGTTCGGTCGGCTCAGATCGGCCAGATCGTCTCGGCATCGGCATTGCCGATTGCACTCACTGCCTGCACAGTTTTTGGGACAAAGGGGTAAAGGGGTCTATGAACTTTGAACAAAGATGGAAATTCAAAGTTATCTTGGTCGACCTGTTGTTTGAAAATTGCGGGAATTTATCAGGTTGTATTATCCCCGAAAAAAAAAAACCAGAGGTGAAGCTTATCACAGGCTTTCTCACAGGACACGGCTCTCTGAGGTACCACCTCGAAAAGATGGGCCTGGCGGAGACTGACACTTGCCGCTTTTATTTGTAACAAAGCGACCGAAACCGCGGAACACATACTTTGCTCATGTGAAGTATTAGTCCGCCAAAGGCTGAACCACCTAGAACAGGTCTATCTCACCCCTGCTGAAGTGGAAAATTCAACCGTCAGGAAAATCGTAGGCTTCATCAGAAGTCTAGGGTTAGAGGACCAAAACTAGATAGGGGTAATCACAATAGATCTTCTAGGTCGCAGTGATCGAGAGGTCTCCCAGCCTATACGACCCATCTACAATCTACAATCTACATCCCCGAAAAAGGTGCTACTACCGCGACAGCATTCATATAGGTTCCAAACGGTTCCATAGGTTATTTCTCTTTTGAGATTGATCTCGCGATTGATGTTATGGATCAGAACCTTGGTTTCAGTTTTTTATTTCTTTGCATGCTAAGGCAATCCTTATATCTCCCTCGGAATCAGTTGAACTCATTTTCTCTTTTATGAAAATTGGTTTAGACTAAATTGCTGCTGAAGGCTTAATGTGCCGATACTGCCGATTCAGTGCGCGGTTTAAGTTGACGTGCCGACCGTGCTGAGCCGATCCGACCGATCCGAGTCGTTGAGAGCAGACGAAGTTTGGCTTCTTGTAATGCCCAGTACAAGCTCCGGTCCCCAGAACGGTATCGCGGATCCGATTCTAGCCAGTTCGTCGCATTCCGCACCAAAGCTGTGCTTTCGGTTTGGAATGACAAGTAATAGCCTGGAGAGTCACCTGACTCTCCAAGCCGATGTTAATCTTCTGCTCTGGTCTCTCTGTCACCTCTTGTCCCTCTGCTACGGTCAGAATGGCAAATACTTCATCCTAAAAACTGTAGTGTATTTTCCTAGAGCTTAGCTCTCCCTTATCCCTTCTATGTAAATTTCTGCACCTGAGTCCTGTTTGTCAGTGATCCGTTCGTATAACATTCTAGACTTTCTTGGCCTGAACCTTCTATTCCATCTCAGGCTATTTTGAAAGTTCTTTGCTCTTATAGGGTGGAGATAGGGATCTCCTGCTACACCCATTTCGCAATTTCCGCGTAACCTATCACTGCTCCTTCGTTAGCCAAACTCCCAGAGTCTCGCATCCTCAGATAGGCTGCCATTGCTTCCCTCTTAATCCAGATTGGAAGCAGCCGCAGCCCCAGCAGTACCTCCAGCGTTGCAGTTGGCGTCGTCCTCATTGCTCCTGTAATCGCCAGGCATGCAATTCTCTGAACTTTACTAAGGTTTCGACTAATTGTGTTGGTTTATGCACCTGGTCACCTCACAGCTGATCCATACTGAATCTTTGGTCTCACAACCGCTGTGTACAGCCAGCGCATAATCTCGGGGTTAATACCCCAAGTGATCTCAACAAACCTCCTTAATTCAATCTACCAATGAAGACAATGAAATAATAATTGATATGAAAATTACTCATTCACAACAAAATATCTGAGCTTCAACAAATTGATCAGAACCTGTACTAGGAGTTTCAAGTCAGCTAGGCCACCATAATTCATCATAATATCAATTTTTCTAGAGACTCAATGTCTTGAGATAATCGACAATCCTTGATACCAGCATGAACTGAACATTCGAAAAGAATGTGTTCCAAAGATTCCGCTCTTTGGAGATTGCATCAGTACATTCTTCTTCAGTACTTTTTTTATACACTAATCGATTGAAGGTGATCCTGAGGGACGACATACTGTATGTTCTTGATTGAGCGATAATTTTATTTGGATGGAAAGTTCCTGATGGCCCCCCCTGTATATTATTTTGCAAGGAACTCATCAACTCGTAGAATGTATTCCACCTTATCAGAATGTCTTTGTCATTGCATCTATGAACGCCGAAACATTTCCAGTGTAATTTTATGCTTCTTCCCTCAAGAAGGTGGAAATTTGTTCAGTTGCTATGCTCACGATTCAAAATACAGGCTTCTGATTGATTGAGAATGTAAGGTGTTGAATTTTCTACCGAATCATTCATTCGAACTTTGCAGGTTGCCCCACCCGCTTGAAATTCGGCAAAGACCTGTGGCAGCACGAGTCCCAATGCTCGTACAACCAGATGTTCAGGAAATCCACCCCCAAGCCCGGCAACCAGAAGGAGAAGGGCGTGATCCAGACCCACTCCGGCCACTATTACGGCACCATCACCCCCCATTCGGCCCCTTTCGCCCCACCTGCCCCCCATGCGGACTTCGATGCCAACATGCAGCTGCTGAAATCGCTGAAGAACAAGCAGGAAAGGAAGTTTGTGCGCGCCGAAGAGATTGGTTCGAGTATGGGGAAGGTCGGTTCGGAAGACGGATCTTCGAGTGACTACGATGTTGATAGGGGGAGTTCGTATGACAAGAGTTCATTAGGAGTGCCTGGTACTCCAACCAGGTGAGTTCAGAGGTACTGCTATCCTCGTATCAAGACCGGTTCCTTCTGGAGCTAGGCAACAACGTTAGTGCTCTAATGTGATGTTATGTATGTGGGCAGTCCGAGACCTCACGCACTTAGTCCTCCTTTTAAAGCAAATTTTCCTGGCAAAAAATACCATCTTTCTATTCCAAATCGTTTTGATATCATCTTGGTTCAGGATACTAGTTAGTGCTCAGAGTTGCGGTCTACTAGTCTTCTGTGGAAGAGTACTAATATCTCCAGTTTATAAGAGGGTTTCGTTGGTAGCTTATCCTCTCGTCAAATCAACTAATCTTCTGGGACAATGAATTGAAGTTTTGTAAAATTCAACACAAATGAACAGCTGCTTCACTCGCTGAGGAAGTAGCATTATAGGTAAATCCAGCAAATTGATTCAAAAGATGAGAAAGTACTTAGCGATAGTTCGGATGGAACTCCTTTAAACAGGTGAACTTACTGCCACAACCGACCCTGATTTTTGCTTGAGTTCTACAATATTGTTAGGGCTCTAAGCTGAAGTTGATTAGCAAACTCCACAAAAGGGTTTGTCTTGCGTTTCGAAGGAATACTCATATTTTTTTATCGCCAGGTGCGCATGAAAGGGAATCCCTTTAATGTTCGAAGAACATCGTGCGTACCTAGGGAGGATAGGGAGAGAAGATAGGTGCTGAAATTTATTTTGAACTCTTGGTAGGATAGTTGAGCTTCTTGTGAACACGTTTTTCAACATGAACGAGTAGCTGCTCTAATCGCTGGAGAATAAGCAGATAAGGAAGTTTGAGCATGAGGAAGGTCAGTTCAGAAGACAAAATTCGTGGCGAGTGCCTGGATCTCCAACCAGGTGAGTTCAGAGGTACTGTGATCCTCCTATCGAGACCGGTTCTCGCTGAAGCTCGGCAACAACGTCAGTGCTAATGTAGTGTAATGTATGCGTGCTGGCGTTCCAGAACCTGACGCAATTAGTCCGCCCTTTCAAGCCGATTTTGCGAGCAAGATATACCATCTTCCTAGGCCAAATATTTTCAACATTCTTGGTTCAAGATACTGCCTCTATAATGCACATCCCCTGCTGCCACTACTGCCACTACTGTCGGACATTCAGTGACAATGTGAGTAGACGTCCCTTCATCGTGTTGAGATGCTTAACGTTAGTGCTCTGAGTTACAGTCAACTAGTCATCTATGGGAGGGTTTCGTTGTTAGCTTATTATTTCGTCAAAATCACTAATTATCTGGGACAATGAATCGAGTTTCGTAAAGTTCAACACAAATTAACAGCTGCTGCACTCGCTAGAAAAGTAGCAATAGAGGTAAATCCCGCAAGTCGATTAAAAAGATGAGAAAGAACTCGAGCATCGGCGAAGTCGGCAGAAGTTGTTTGTATGAAGAGAAAGGTAGTTCGTATGGTACTCTAACCAGGTGAGCTATAACCGTCCCCGGTTCTTGCTTGAGGTTGAAATTAGTGTTAGTTACAGTTGATCTGTCAACTTTACGAGAGAGTTTCGATAACTGCCTCGCGTTTCGAAGAAATAACTGATCATATAGGCCAGGTAGACGCGTGATGAAAGCATTAGTATTCTATCGCGTTTGCTTGCCGATCGTGGGTTCGAATCCAACGATCAAAGGATTTTTTCTGATTGCTCGAAATGGTGTTTGGGATCACACGTCAAGAGATTAGGCCCTTGTCATTCCTTGCTCGCACAAGTCTCTCGAAGACTTTCGAGGGCTGCCCGTAAGTGGGCAAACGAATGACGGACAGAACAATTTTAGAACAACACTTAAGAACAATTTGGTAGGATAATCAAGATTCTAGTGAATACGAATTCCAACATAAATGAGTAGCTGTTGTACTCGTTGATTACGCTAAATAATCAAATAAATATCAAAGATCAAATCTTATAGAAGATAAATTGCTAGCTGGATCCTTGACATATATCTCAATTCAAATTTTGACGTAAAAGAGCAAGTAACAATACTCCATTATGAGATAATACCAAAAACGAACCTCATATAATTACTTATTTTCAATTCCTTGAGATGATTGGGAGGAGTTGGTATGCCTAATATTATTAGAATCCAGACTCTTACAGTAAACAGAATAGACCTGATGATTACAAAATGACAAGTCACAAGCGTGTGCTGAAAATTGGAAGTGTTTATGGTTAAAATTATTAACCCACCTCCAGTCAGTACGCATAGGTGCATTCTAATCTCTGAACTTTCATATTCCAGGATAGATGAACCTGATATCAAAGAGAGGCCAAACAATCATCAGCATGCACCTCAAAGAGACTCTGGATATTACTCCAGTAGCGTCACAAGAGCTAACAGTGGAAGTATAGCACCAGTCCACCCGGAATATGAAAACGTCAGAGTATCCCGTAACAATTCCTACAACCAACAACACATTCCTGGTTTTCTGTCCCAAACCAACATTACTCCAGAAAGAGCTCAAGAAGTGATACCAAGAAATATTAACTACAGTAATATCGGGTTCCAAAACACAGAAGGGCTACAGAAAAACCAACCCTCGCTCCATCTGGATTACAGTCTGCTGGCTGGACACTACCCCATCTTCAGCAACAAGGGCGATGGAGGTGATCTTCAGCACCGGCCTTCTTCCAATGGCGGTGGTATGATGGTTCCAAAACCTATACATCTCATGAGGACAGACAGTTTGTCCAGTAATAAAGACTTGATGGATGAGCTGAAAAGACGTCAGAGTTTTTTGAAGAGCAAGAAGATTCTCGAGAAAAGCGAGAATAATAGTCCATATGAGGCGTGCCAAAGTTTAGACGACGTTTTACAAGTTCATGATAAGATTGGCCAATAATTGGTCGATGGATTGAAATGGAATCTTAAATATATTCATTCAATACGTACTGTATACAAATGAGTAAGCTAATTTTATTTTCTGAGATTTGTTCCTAATCTATTGTTCCTATAATCATCGTTATAGTTTGTCTAGTGAGTAGGTATATTTACTGAAACATTTTATAAATTCAGAGATGTACACGACTGAAAAATTGATAGATTACATTACCAGAACTCCTATTCCATATGTTTCTATGAGAACAATAATCTGTTAGGGATTAGAACAAATCATCAATGTGGATGTGTGCTGCCTGATTTTGAGTGAGAAAGAGCATATAATAGCATGATTTCTGAATTAATTACTCAGGAATATTATACCTTCCTTTCATTGAAGAACACTACAAACTCGGTGCTAGCAGCTACGTAGGAGTGGGGAATTAGCGTCAAGAGATCATTGGCTGGCTGACGTACACCCAGGTGCAATGATCATGTCGCATATGTGTGGTGATATAACTTCTAGCCTTCTTCTAGTCACCTCTGCAATAAGAGCTCTAACACCATCCAACTTCGCCATGTTATTCGCATCTGACTGTACATACAATGGATTTCCAAAGGATGTCCAGAAGGACATCCATTGGATATCCATCCATTTGCCACAAAACTAGACATCTTTAAATTCAGGGGATATACATATCTTGGAGCCTGAAGGAATTGAATCTCGAGGGGCTGCTATGAACAAGAAATCCTTGATATAGCAGGAGCAGATATGGGGCACAATAGATCTAATTGGGTCGCAGCGCATCTGTCACCATCCAACCTACCAATACCAATACCAATCTTGGAGCAAGAAAAACATTATTGGAATTGAAATGTATAAATATATATACATATTTATGGAAGGGAAGTCGTTGCTGACCAGTAGGAATGAAACCAGTGTATATTGGGGTAGCAGCAGTGTAAAAGGAATACTCTTTGAAGTTTATCCAAGCTTTCGGAAATGTTTATTTCCATCATCAAGACTAATACAATGATTGAGGAGTGTAAATACATTGGAAAACACTAAGTAAGTACGAGGCATGGCCATAGTGTTTTCCAATGTATTTACGCTCCTCAATCATTGTAGTATTCCTGATGATGGAAATAAACATTTCCGAAAGCTTGCATAATCTTCAAAGAGTATTCCTTTCACACTGCTGCTACATTGGTTTCATATATATGTATATATATATATTGGCCCCAACAGTAAATGTCCCCACAGTACTTTTCCAATTGATTACTTCGAAAAATGTTTAAAAAATATGGAATACGGGATTCCTACCCACGATCTCTAGCTTATCAGGCATATCAAATAAATTTTTATTCAGTACTTCTTTTTTCAATAACATTGGACAATAACATAAGACAAGATAACTTTTCGAAAGAGTATAATTAAGAACACTCTCCACGCAGTGTGGATTTGGCAGGTGTGAGCCAAAGGAGAGTTTTGTCCATGCTCAGAGTCCTGGCAAATGAATTATGCCTCTTGGAGCGAAGTTCCTTACAACAAATATTTACAGGGTTGACCCAGAAGGATAGGGTTGAAAAGAAGCATTGTCGTGATGGTTGTTGGCATGCTATATGGAAAATAAAAACGAAGAACCTTTTTCAAATACTGTCACGGCACAGACTCGCGGCCGTCTGACCAGGTCCCGCCCAGAATCGGCCGCGAGGCCAATGAGACTGGGTGATGCCTTCATAAATATATCAGACGGTTGCACAGAGACTTCAGCATGATGCCGGAGCCTGTGCTACTTTCGTGAATTTTGAGAGCTCGCGAGATCGCCAGATAAACTACTATTTCATTTCATGCTCGGATTTCCTACTTCAAACTAAGAATTTTCAACATCAAAGACAAACTATTCCGATTCTGTAGCCGGAATTTCAGGGTTCAAAATAAAAGGAAATTACATTTTCAGTCCGAAAATTAAATATTCTCTACAAACTTTTCATCTCATGTTTGTTCTACATTTTTTTAGTGTCGAATTAAATGAGTTTTTCAGTCATTCACCTAGGGTGACGAATTCGTATTATTAATTTTTTGTTCAAAAAGAGAATTGCAGAATTTGAAAATGAGTTGGAAAAATTCACTTACTGTCCCCCTCTATCAGTTGACGATATCGCACGAGTTATGTCGTATGTAGGGAGTAAACGTGGAATTACGATGTTTCCGTTCTCGAGAGAAATGCATTTTTGCAAAGTATCACGGGGTTTGGTTGATTTTCTGTATAACATGAATGTTTTTTATATAATATCTAAGTTGTAAATGCTCTCACATTTGTGCAAATTGTTTTGTTCATTTCATTTCATCCGGTTTTTCGGGCATTCTGGAATCATCAGGTTTTTTTTTTTTCATCTCATTCTCATGAAAATTGGAATAACTGTAATAGCAATACTTTTCCGTCTCTGCTCCTTTCATGAATTCTGATAGAATCTGATGGGTTATTCAGAAGACGCGAGAGGGTGTTGAATTCGCATGAAATACTAATGATATGACTAGTAGGAAGGAAAAATAAAATTGGGTCAGTGCCGTTAGGGGACTGTTGACTCCGTATTAGATGGAGAAATCATTGAAAATTGGATGGTCCATACCCTTAATTATTGACAACGACAAGGATATTTCATCGATCGAAGGCAGGCTAATTATTTCATCAACGGAAGTGATCCATTTAGGGTGTTTTTATGCAAGATTTTTTAAGAACATTTCACAGCATTCAGAATGGCCAGTATGATGAGTTGAGTAAATCGGAGAAGCACAGTAAAAATGATAGAAATTGCAGATCACACTGACAATGATTAAAATCAAGAGTGAAATATACAGGGTGTCTGGGAAGGTAATGTCGTAAATGATAAGGCTGATGAAGTGAGCCAAAATAAAGCGAATGTAGCGATATACGACCCTAACTACGCCACTGGTTGACAAAATTAAGAAATGAAAACTCTATGTGATCAGATTGATCACTCTGGATCGATATACCGAGTTTCATATTTTTTGCTACAGGGGTTCTGGAGAAATTTAGAGAAATATTAACTTTTTCCGTACATTCGACACCCTGTATCTCAGTGAGGATGCATTTTAGAACATACGTTGATATATTATACCTTAAAATGAGGTGAGGAATCCGTATACGGAGTTTGTCGGTCTCATTCGGACTCACCATGTATACAAACTCAAATTTCGTAGAAAAAACGATGATAAGGTAAGATAATTACTGATTTTTTTATTCGGTAATACGGAAGAATGTTGGACGAAAAACGACGTCAATATGACGTCTTCTCAGGTCACTGTGCTACCTGGATATTTCATAGGTGTGCTTCATCCCTATATTTTTTCGAACCTGTCCATATATCCAGTGAAACCACTATAGCGGGTGAGACAATAGTGTGTTCTGGTTCGATTTTCGCGAAACCCTCAGATATGTAAAAAAATTCGAATACAACAGCTATAGGGTTCCCTATTACCGTCATCAAAAATTGTTTTCAATTTTCATATATCTATAGGGTGTTTCAATATCAAGATACCAGCTGATGATGGGATTTTGAATGGGACACCCTGTATATTATATAATTTCCAGGTTCTCCCTGAAGAGCCGATTTCATCAATGCATGACACTTGGGGTCAAGCAGAAATGATCACAGAAATATAGGGTATTCAAAGACAATTTTTTTTATTTTAGGATTGTTTTGTGTCGAAACTATTCATACTTGGTCAAAACGGCTCACATGTTTCTATCTTGACTTCTGATCTGATATCCACTGACATTGAATTGAAAAAAATACAGGGTGGTTCAAGATTCAGACTTCTGATCACCCCCATATGTGGTACATGGTGAATCAAGAGTGAAGATAGAAACATGTGAGCCGTTTTGACCAATTATGAATAGTTTCGACGCAAAAAAAATTCTGAATTTCAAAAATATCGATGTTGAACACCCTATATCTCTGTAAACATCCCCCCAAGTCAGATGCATTGATAAAATAAGCTCTTCAAGGAGAAACCGAAAATGCAATAATATATAAAGGTGTCCCTTTCATCATCAGCAGGTATCTTGGAATTCTAACACCCTATAGATATGAAAATAATTTTAAGTGACAGTTCTCATGAAACCCGATAAGTAACTGTTGTATTCGAATTTTTCCTATATATCTGAGGGTTTGTACCCTGTACATTAGATTTTTCATGTGTGAATCAATGAATATGGGAGTAAGGTTGAATTTTTACCTCGAGTACATAGGTACTCGAAAGATGATACTATTCACATTCCTTGGCAACCTGGTAATGAAGGGGATTCAGATTTTATAGCACATTCTGTAGAAAATATAGGATAGCTCAATGAGTTTAGTTTATACGAATGACAAAACGTTGAATTCCTTGGAAAGTCTTTATGACCTCCAGTAATATACCTCATTTTTTATCTCTCTGATGTCGAGGACTCCATGAAGGTACCATAATAATTCAAAAAATACGTCATTATGACGTCATTTTACTAACCTGTGCAGTGGGTAACTGACTGGGCTACCTGGGTAGGTAGGTGTTTCAGTGATACTGCAATGATTTACTCACCATGAGATTAATGAGGGTTAATGAAGTTCCATTCAAGATGTTTACATTTTTATGAAAAATCTTGTGGTGTTGACAGAATTGATAATGAATATCAAGTTTCTGGAACATAACCTCAACTCAACACAAACCATTAACGCCGAATTGTTGAACTATTGTAACTACATCGCGTCAAATATATTTCGGATTCATCAGCGTCGATAACCAATCAGGTTGTATGACGCGCAACACGTAAAGCAAAAACGCTGCATTATTGGAAACTCAACTTTAGTCTCATTATTCGAAAATGACTCACCGTTGTGATGCGTGACGCCCAAATCCAGCAGGTATCTTGGAATTCTAACACCCTATAGATATGAAAATAATTTTACGTGACAGTTCTCATGAAACCCGATAGGTAACTGTTGTATTCGAGTTTTTCCTATGTATCTGAGGGTTTGAACCCTGTACATTAGATTTTTCATGTGTGAATCAATGAATATGGGAGTAAGGTTGAATTTTTACCTCAAGTACACTCGAAAGATGATACTATTCACATTCCTTGGCAACAAAGGGGATTCAGATTTTATAGCACATTCTGTAGAAAATATAGGATAGCTCAATGAGTTTAGTTTATACGAATGACAAAAAGTTGAATTCCTTGGAAAGTCTTTATGACCTCCAGTAATATACGTCATTTTTTATCTCTCTGATGTCGAGGACTCCATGAAGGTACCATAATAATTCAAAAAATACGTCATTATGACGTCATTTTACTAACCTGTGCAGTGAGTAACTCATCTCTGACTGTGCTACCTGGGTAGGTAGGTGTTTCAGTGATACTGCAATGATTTACTCACCATGAGATTAATGAGGGTTGATGAAGTTCCATTCAAGACGTTTACATTTTTATGAAAAATCTCGTGAAAAATCTTGTGGTGTAGACAGAATTGATAATGAATATCAAGTTTCTGGAACATAACCTCAACTCAACACGAACCATTAACGCCGAATTGTTGAACTATTGTAACTACATCGCGTCAAATATATTTCGAATTCATCAGCGTCGATCACCAATCAGGTTGCATGACGCGCGACGCGTAAAGCAGAAACGCTGCATTGGGAACTCAACTTTAGTCTCATTATTCGAAAATGACTCACCGTTGTGATGCGTGACGCCCAAATCCTGCAGCAGCGTGGCCGCAAAATCGGCCTTCTGGCGGGTCGAATCTAACCTCAAAGTGTCCAGGGGCACCGACAGCGACTTGAACTGTTCGGTGACGCAGAGGGATCCCAGGGAGGAGACGGACACTTCGTGGATTTTCTCCAAGCTGGATTCGATGTCCTCCTGCACGACATCCACAAAAAAACCATCATGAACAGTGTTTGGTGTTTGCGAAAAGGTGGATCTGACACCGGTATGAACCGGTATTTTTATAAAAATCTTTCAAATGAGGCTACTTGACTCATTAACACCAGAATTATTTTTTTATGAAACGCTTGACAAGTGATAGCCCTCGTGATTTCATAATCACTGAGATAGGGACATTTGGTCTTCAAGTGTTCAGTTCTCGAGGTACAGGGCGTTAAAGTTAAGAAATAGTAATAGTTTTTTCGCAATATCTCAAGAATAATTGAATATAATGCATTCAAATTCGGTATATGGTTTCATATTTGAATGGGTCATTTTTTGACCAGAAAGCCATTCCCGACATTTCATGCAGTGGTGCCCTACAGGGGTTTGTGGTAACTCTTCCTCCCATATTTTCTACGCCACTGATGAAATTTCGATTATTTCCAATTCCTCGCATTCATTTTTCAATTTTGTTCAAAAAATGCATTACCTTCAACCGAGCTAAAATGAACAGTTTTCGAGATGTTCGACCCAAAATAGGAGATTACATAGTAGTATTCATTATTTTCAGTAGTAGAAAATTACAAAAATATTTTTCTGGTGTTGGGTAGATGAGATACTATTCAGATCTCATTCTGTAGCTGAACAGTTATTCCACGCATAAAGAGACAACAAATATTTTTTTAATTTTCAACTGCCTAGGAAGATGAAAAATTACTATGCAAACTTCTATTTTGGATCCAATATCTCTAGAACTGTTCATTTCAGCTCAATTGAAGGTGATGCATTTTTTCAGCATCATTGAACAATTAATACGAGAAATTGGAAATAATCGTAATTTCATCAGTGGCGTGGAAAATATGGGAGGAAAAGTTATCACAACCCCCTGTAGTGCACCTCTGGATGAAATTCTTGGAATGTCTTTCTTGTCAGAAAATGAACTATTGAAAGATGAAACCATATACCGAATTTGAATGTGAAATATTCAATCAATCCTGAGATATTGCGGAAAAACTATTATTTTTTCTCAACTTCAACGCCCTGTATCTCAAGAACTGAACACTTGAAGACCATATGTACCTATCTCAGTGATTATGGAATCACGAAAGCTATCACCTGTCAAGCGTTGTCGGTCGAATTTCGCAACACCCTGTATAGAAAAGGTATTTGATAGCAAAATCTGTTGATACAACTGTGTACTTTGCAAGATGTGGGGGGTCACTATATGGACCCACTAGGCGGTTTCCAGGACAAAATGGATAACAGGAGTAATATGGAAATGAAAGTCATAAATATTCATTCAAACTATTCAATAATTAGGAAAAAGCTTGGAAAAATCCAATTCATAGCCCAACTTTACATTTCTCACACATTGTACGTTTTTTGTCGCTGCAATTAGGAAACGCACAATGTTTTCTCTTTCCGTCAGGAACCAAAATGACAAAGTGACATAGTTTGTGTAGTCTCAAATCCTCAGAAACTCGTATTTTGCCTCCTGGAGGTTAAGATGTCCTGTCCACCCTTTGGTGGGCTTTTGTACCTAATCAGAATGTACTAATAAGCGATGAGGGATAATAATAATAATAATAATAATAATAATAATAATAATAATAATAATAATAATAATAATAATAATAATAATATGTCTTTATTCATCATCATTTCACAACTGGTAGAGAAAGAAACAAATAGATGAAAGGGCGGGGTTCAGCTAAGAAGCTGCTTTTAAACCCAACCGGTAGAATGATATAAATATAATTAATAAGAAACTAATTTACAGAATTTTCAAAATGAATTTATGATTAAGAATTGTACATAGGTTATCGTAATAATTACCAGAAAATTAGTATAAATGTATAAGTGGACAGTACAGTTTAATGCACTAAATAAGATAGTTACAACCAGATCGAAAATCACGCCGTCATAAAAAAGGAAAAACTTCTGCCGCCCAGAACAATTTCAGCCGTTTCTTAAAATTATTTAAAGTAAATTCCTTGAATTCAACAGGGATGGTATTGTAGAGCTTAGCAGCATTATAGGAAAAGCTTCGGGTGAAAATTGACTTGGTATGTCTAGGAATAAGTAGCAAATGCTTGTTGCGCGAAGACTTTTTAACTGATAGTTTAGAAAGTTTATTACGTAAATATGGCGGTGAACCAGATGTCAAAATTTTGTGGGTGAAAGTGAGTAGGTGTAAGTTTGAACATTAGATTTTGCTGATTTATACCTAAACAAGGTAGCCGTGTGGACAGAGTGTCTATATTCTAATCCGCATTCGCTTGCCGGTCGTGGGTTCGATTCCTATCGACTGCAGAAAATTTTCTGAAGGCTCAAGAAAGTGTTTGGGATCACACGTTAAAAGGTAAGGCCCCCCTCATTCCTTGCTCGCACAAGTCTTTCGAAGACTTCTGAGGGTTGCTCGTAAGGGGGCAACCGAATGACGGATAGAACAATTTTACAATAACAACAACAACAATACTTCTTCTGAAGTCTAACTGGCTACAATTGCGAACAGTTATCCTGAAAAGTCTCCAAGCATTCTGTAAAGGAACGTCTAGTGGGCACGTAAAGATCGGCCAGTGCCACTTTTTGTCCTCACTTCTACATGATGGCTCGAAAAATACATTGAAATTATATTGTCCTGAAAAATTATTACATTACTCTAGTGGCTCTATACAGTGTGTCCCACTTACCATGCTCACCATGGGTATCTTTTTAACGGTGAGAGATACGAGGTCGGTTATATGACACCAAATGTGGAGTTTGTCAAGGCCAACTATAATGTGAAAAAATATTTTGATAAAATCTATTCGTTTTTGTTTTATACGCAAAAAAACAGATTTTGATCATTTTCATGTCTCCTCCGTAACTTCTTTATTTATGAAAATATTCAAATGGAAATTTCACATTCTCATGGCAGTGGGGGTTTTTGAGGTCGGAGATCATGTTTTTTTTGTTAAAATTCATAAATTCAAGATGGCGGCTTCCAAATAATTTTTTGTTTTTGTATAAATGACGATAACTCCGTTGTTATCAACACAAAACTATCACTGCGACACATCATCTGTTATATGACCTACATTTGAAAAACTAAAGTTGGTGCTGATATCTCAAATTCTAGAAGAGTTGGTATAAATTTTATATTTTTTTCAAAATCACTTTGAAAAACTGCCAGGAGAATGTGAAATTCCTATTTGAATATTTTCATAATTAAAGAAGTTACGGAGGAGACATGAAAATGATCGAAATCTGTTTTTTGCGTATAAAACAAAAACGAATAGATTTTATCAAAATATTTTTTCACAATATAATTGGCCTTGACAAACTCCACATTTGGTGTCATCCGACCTCGTATCTCTCACCGTTAAAAAGATACCCATGGTGAGCATGGTAAGTGGGACACACTGTATATATACATTGCCAATTTTTGCTTCGTTTTCCGATTCGTAGGCGAGATCCAATGCTTCTTGCAACGATAAACCACAGAAAACGAGAATGCATCATTGGTGTCCTTCATTTTTATCGATGAATAGTATAAATATGATATTTCCCATTTTGTTCTGCTAACCGCCTAATGGTCCCATATGGGTACACCATTCTTTGGCGGAACATACAAAATATTTGATCATTCATTTTTGAGAACTTGAGTGAATATCGTGTACCTCTATATATTTAGTCACAATATAATCACCAATCAGGCCTATTCGTGATGAATTTAAAACCTTCAAAATAAACTTACACTACATGAATGTCCATATTTTTCGTATCTGAAATCACACCAAACATTTATTACACCACTAATTGGTTGTAAATAATATCACACCTGCAAAACTGATGCTGCGTAACTGAACTCGTGAAAACACGAAAATTTCCCCTCTTTGCAAATATGTTACCCTGGCACAGCGATCGAATTGTTCAATGGCTAGTGGGACCATTTGGTACCACTAGGCGCTAGGTTAATTCATTTTGCATTGTCTACCAGAACCGCTTTCCAATTGTCATGTCATTTTGAATGATTATCCTTGGTTTTGTTAAAACGATAGTATTATTTATTAGATCTTAGTATACAACGGCGAATAAATCAACGACCTTCTCTTCATCATTATTAACTGGTTTATCTGATTGGCCTTATCAAATAGAAAACAATGAATGGAATGTTTCTTTGGGTGATACTAAGATGATCCCGAAAACGGAGTATAGTATATATAGAAATATATTTGGACTAGGACAACTAGCGAAGGACTACCATAAAAATCGAAACACAACAGCAACACAGTATCTTCGCTATGACATTTTCTATTTGAATTATTTTTCTTTTCATCGTAATATCTACTTCAGCATCATTTTCTGTGGGTTATGTAGTATAAAATATGCGAGATGAGAAATTACATCTACCAAAATCATATGATCCACAAATTTTTTCATTATAAAAACTGAAATTTCCAGCCAAATCCGTCAATAAAATGTCACTAAAAATACTGGGATAAAAATAATGTTCCAATTACAACATCCTGATTCAGTTCAAGTGTAGGTATAGTACCGGTACATTTCAGGGGTAACAAATTTTCAATTGGAAAGCGGCTCAGATCGCCCAACTTCTCATTTTCTGGCAATATGGAAATGGCGTTCAATATTGCACATTGGGAGTAATAAACGCAAGCCTACTCAAGTCTAACCATACTTTTCTATATGTTCACTAAGGCCACACACAGCGTTACGGCATAACCACCTTCTTGAATTCTTGAAATTCCATTCTGATGACGTTACATGAGGCAAAACAGAAGAGCCAACCTACGAATATAATATTGAATAGATGACAGATGCCAAAACGTTGAGGTTAGAGTTTCTAAAAATTAACATGAAAATTTGGAAAAGGTATCAGATCTTGACTGGAACATAGAATGATCATTATAAAAAAGAGTCCAAAGTAATATGGTTACAGATTCAGTAGCATTTTCAAGTAATATAAGTACCAAATTTTTTTAGAATAGTAA